GAATTAGAACACTAATCCCAAAATAAAATAAAGAAAAAATAAAATGACACTTTAAAAAATGGTAAAATGACAGTAGTAATAATACTTATTAAAAATAAAAATGTAGTAATTAAAAAGGTAAAATCAGGTGATGAAAAAAATAAAAATAAATAAAATAAAATAGATTCTTGCCGAAACCGGTTTGGCTCAGTGGATAGAGCGTCAGCTTGCGGACTGAAGGGTCCCAGGTTCGATTCCGGTCAAGGGCATGTACATGGGTTGCGGGCACATCCCCAGTGGGGAGTGTGCAGGAGTCAGCTGATCGATGTTTCTCTCTCATCGATGTTTCTGACTCTCTATCTCTCTCCCTTCCTCTCTGTAAAAAATCAATAAAATATATTAAAAAAAAGAAATAAAATAAAATAGATTCTTAATTAAAAGGTGAAAAAAGAATTAAAAAAAATGTGCAGTAGTGAAGGTGCTTCAGATCTTCTACTCTTCTTTTTGGCACGCCTTAGTCCTGCCACGTATTCAGGAGAGTGTTGAATTTCCCTGCGATACACTGTCCCTCCATGTTGGTCCGTTCTATCCAGTAGTTAGGGTTTATTTTCTCTATTGTACTTGAAACTGTTTGGGAAAGTCCACTGCCCAGAGCTGGTTCTTTAATCGTTACTCCCCACTCTGTTTCCCAGGTTCCCCAAAAACAACTTTCCCCTACAGTCTCTGCGAGTGACCCCAACTGGGCAATCCCATGCACTGGGTTTAATAATCAAACGCAAAGATTTAAGGGGAAGTGTAAAAGCAAGAGCCAGAGAAGTTGCACGAATTCACAAGCCTCCACCTTCCTGGTTTGTGCCCATTCTCCACTCTCCCCTGGCACCAAGTAGCCGGCACCCTGGCAAAATCTGAGGCTGCTTTTTTGCATCCAGTCCAGCTATGGGCTTATTTTTAGCGTTGCCTTCTGCCAGCAGCCCTGCGGGAGCCCTTCAATACTCGCGGATCACACTGGCCCCAATGGCCGCGGACTTTGTGGGGCGCAGATTTCCCCCCGCGTGCGTTCCTCTCTCCAACCTGAATTGCAAACTGCACCTTTAGGGGAAATCTAATCTTTCCGTGAGGAGAAGCAGGGCTCATCTGAGTTCACATAGTCGCACTGCTTGGGATCCATTGTTTCTGGGTTAGTAGCCGATCTTGGTTGCCGGGTCTTTGGGTGTATACGATTCCAGTAACAGCCACTCAAGATGGCGTGGTTTCCGCGACTGAGCCGGTTCTCCGGGAGAGATTTCAGCCGCAGTCTCCAACCGTCCCCTTTCTCCAGAGTCCTCTGTCTTTTCCGGCTGCAAACTGTCTCTCAGCTGAATATTCTCTGCTTATTCGGGCTGTATGTTACTCGTTTCAACTGCCCACCCTTATCTGCTCCAGGACAAGGCACGGGATATCCGTCTATACCTTCACCATTTTCTTCCCCCCCTCTTTATTTTTCTTAAAATGAAATTATCTTAATTTTCTGATTGTTCGTTGCTAGTGTGTAGAAATACAGTTGATTTTTGTCTATTGATCTTGTGGCATGCAACTTTGCTGAACTCATTTATTATTTCTATTAGTTTCTTAGTGTATTTCTTAGGGTTTTTACATCAAGGTCATGTCTGTTTAACCAGTGGATGAAAGACACTGGGGGGAGGGGAGAGGGCATGTGCTGGGTAGTAGGGGAGGCCGGGGGAAGGTCAATGGGGAAAGAAAGGAGACATATGTACTACTATTTGTAAAACTTTAAACAATAAAATTAAATTTAAAAAAATAGAAAGACAGTTTACTTTTTCTTTCCAATCTGGATACCCTTTTATAAATTTATTTTGGGGGGCTTACTGGGCCTGGCTAGAAACTCCAATGTAATGTTGAATAAAAGTGGTAAGAGTGGACTTCTTTGTCTTGTTTCTGATTTTAGGAGGAACGAATTCAGTCTTTCTCCATTAGGTTTGATGTTGGCTTTAAATTTTTCATACATGCCATTTATCAGGTTGAGAAATTTTTCTTCTCTTTCTAGTTTTTGAAGATTTTTGTCATGAATGGATGCTATATTTTATCAAATGCTTTTTTTGTATCTATTGCAATGATGATGTGGTTTTTATTCTTTCATGTATTAGTACTATGTATTACATTAATTGACTTAAGAATATTAAACCAGCCTTGCATTTTTGGGATAAAGCCATTTGCTGATGTTGCATAATCCTTTTCAGTGTGTTGCTGGATTCATTTTGCTAGTTGGGGATTTTGTATCTTTTATTCATGAGGGATATGGGTCTGTTCTATAGCTTGCTTGTGATGACTGGTTTTGGTATCAGGCTAGTATTGGCTTCATAGAGTGAGTTGGGAAATATTCCCCCTTTTCTGTTTAATAAGATTGCAAAGGATTGGCATTAATTCTTTAAGTATTGATAGAATTCATCAGTGAAGCCATCTGGCTTGGACTTTTCTTTGTGGGAAGATCTTTGATTATTAATTTAAACTTATCATTTATTACAGGTCTATTCAGATTTCTATTTCTGCTTGAGTCAGTTTTGGTAATCTGTGTTTTTTCTAGGAATTTGTCTATTTCCTCTAAGTAATCAAATGTTGGCATACAGTTGTTCATAATATGTTCTTGAAGATAGCTTCTTTTCTTGAAGATGTATGTTCTGTTTAACCTATTGAGGATTTTCTGTTTCGTGTCTAATTTTGTTTTATCCTTTTTCATTTTGCAAATTCTCTAAATATGAGGTTTTTTTCAGAGCTTGCTTGCTTATTTTATGAATACAATAATCTCTTGTCTCTTTCAAATACTAAAATTAGTATTTTTCATTCTCTTAAGTTTCTTGCATCAGCCTTTCCCTCAAGGTTAGTTGCTCGTTGTGTTTATCCAGGTAGTGCCTTTACATTGATGATTTTCTTATACTGATTACTGTTTAAGGTTGATTTGTATTTATCTTTAGGATTATCTGAATTTATCACTATTGGGTACACTGAGCTGTTGAGAAGGTGTGGTGTGATATCCTAAGGGAGAAGCGGACTAGCCAGCCAGAGGTCTCTCCAGTTCTGGTGTGCTCTGACTGTTGTTGAGTGGTCTGCTTTCCTCCTTCAGTGGAAGAAGGAGGGAGTAATAGACCAAGTGCCTGGATGCATTTGGCATGGTCATGGTCATGGTTGTGCCAAGTGTCTCCCCACTCTAGGATGTTATGGTGACCTGAAGATAGCTGGGGCATTGCCCTGGTTTTTCTTTCTGACCCCCAACTCACTCCACAGAACTGTTCTTTCCTACTGCAGCCTCGGACAGATGCGTCAGCCAGCTGTTGAGCAGGTCGTGAAGTACTTCCTGCTATTCATCACTTTCCCGAGGCCAGTTCTGGCTGCCAGCCTCTGTTGGATTATTTAGGTGTCAAGTGATAAAGTGTATGTTGTCACTTTGTCAGTCCCCGCTTCTCCTATATTAGGATTAGGATACAGGTGTCTGAACTCCCATTGTTTGGTCAGATTGACCATATCTGTTTTACAATTTCTGGAAATTCCTCAATACTTTAGAAGTATCTCCCGATACTTCTGATAACATCTTTTCCTCTTATCCCATACTCCTGTTAATTTAATCTTTCAGTGTAGTTTTGAAGGGGAAGAGAGACACATTTGTTCAGTCTTTTTTTTTTTTTAGTCTTTTTATATTGAACAGATTGTTTTTTGTAAATGATTTTGGGTATTACATTTTGTGTGTGTTATGCTTTGCTCTTTTGCTGTATAGTTGGCCCTCCATGGGTTTTGTATCCATAGAATGTAAGGCTGACTAAAGGACTTTAGCATCAGTAGATACTAAGGGAGGACTACCCATCTTCACAGGAACAACATGTATATCCCATACATCCAAAGTAATTTTGGTGCAGTCATAACTAATGTAGTCATTTTTAGGTTTTTCAGCTGTAGTCTGTATAGAACAACTCAAATACCTACAGCAGTGGTTCTCAATCTTCTGGCCCTTTAAATACAGTTTCTCATGTTGCGACCCAACCATAAAATTATTTTCGTTGCTACTTCATAATATGTTGCTGCTGTTATGAATCATAATGTAAATATCTGATATGCAGGACAGTCTTAGGCGACCCCTGTGAAAGGGTTGTTTGACCGCCAAAGGGGTCGCGACCCACAGGTTGAGAACCGCTGACCTACAGGTGGTAAACAAAACAGGTACCGGCTATGGATAGTTTCTGAGATAGTAAAAAACTGTATCATGCTGATCAGGCAAGAAAGACCTGCAAAAGTTGCAAAAAAGTAAATATTAAATGTTCTCATACACACACAAAAATGATAATTATGTGATGTGATCCAGGTGTTAGCTAATGCTATGATAGTAATCATTTGGCAATATATAAGTGTATCAGAGCAATATGTTGTATACCTTAAACTTACACAATGTTATATGTCACTTATATCTCAGTAAAACTGTTTACACCCTAACCTGTTTGCTCAGTGGTTAGAGCATCGGCCTGTGGACTGAAAGGTCAAGAGCACTTATCTTGGTTGCAGGCTCAGTCCTCGGCCCTGGTTGATCAGGGCATGTGTGGGAGGCAACCAATTGATGTGTCTCTCTCACATCTATGTTTCTATCCCTCTCCCTTCCTCTCTTTCAAATCAATAAAAATATATTTTAAAAAATACTGGAAGGAAAAATTCCAAATGTGAACAGTGATATCTGGATTGTGGAAGTGTATGTAATTTTCCTGCCTCCCTTACAGCTTTCAAATTTTAAGTACCATAAGCAGACATGGTTTTTACAGTGAATAGCTACAAAAATTATTGTTTTTACTGGCTATGGACTTTCTTCTTGCTGTGGTATATTTCTGAATTTCACACACTAGCTCTTTTTCAAACTAGTTTTTAATGAGCCGGTTTCAATGATTTTGTATTTAGAGGCAATAAGGAACTTAGATAGTTGCAAATAATCTTGTGGAACATACTCCATCAGTTGTACAATGGGACCAAAAAAATTATTTTTCTTTCAGCTTGCCAGTGCAATGGCCACAGCAAATGCATTAATCAGAGTATCTGTGAGAAGTGTGAGAACCTGACCACGGGCAAGCACTGCGAGACCTGCATATCTGGCTTCTATGGTGATCCCACCAATGGGGGGAAATGTCAGTGTAAGTCAAATCCATCCATCAGGATTACTGACTGCAACCCAGATGTAACACAGTGCTTCTCTTTGACTTGAATATCTAAAAGGAGAAGCCAATTGGTTTTGGATACTGTATTTCTTAAGTCATACAAGAAAGAGGCTTAAAGTGGAGAATGCATTAACTCCATCTGTTCTATGTTGCCTCCTGGAATGGCGCACCGGTTGAGTGTCAGGTTAGATGAGCATAAGCAGGGGGTGGAGGTGGGGGTGGTCTTTGGACTATTGAGGGAACCCAGACAAAAGGCTCAGCAAAAGCCTCTTATGGACCCTGGTTGGGGAGGGAGGGTGAAGAGGAAGGGCTGGGAGTGGGAAAGCCCTGGGGATAGAGTGGAGAAAGTGTCTTCAAGGCTTTCCTCTCCTCCCCCATGAAGAAGCTCAGCAGAGGTCTGAAGATGACCTCTGCCCCAGGCCTCAGATAAGGAGATGGAGGAATGAAGGCATCTGAATTTGGAATGCAAATATGTGAAAGAGGTGGCCAACCAGGGGTTCCTGACACTTTGGCTGCAACTCCCCTCAGAGACTTCCACCCAGGCTGGTGTGGGAGGGCAGCTTTCCCTCTAAGGCCTGCAGGGAAAGGCTATGGTTGGAAAAAAATGCATGTAGGTTTTTAACCAGAAGCTGGATTCCTCAGTCAGTACTTCTAGTGTGTTTTAAATATTTAAATAGTCCCACATTTCCCCATGCATGTCAAATAGATTTCTGTAAGCAACAGGACATTTTATTGTTAGAATATAAATTATGTTTTTTATAAGTGACCAGTGATACCAATGAACTTATTTTTGGTTTGTTCTAGTTTCCATGAAAAGACTTTTCAGGTTCTGAGCAGGAAAATAATAAGAAAAGAAAATCTCCGCTCATTTGGTTGTTAAAATTAGTAGTGCACATCAAGAAGACACCCCCTCCCCACGGCCTGGGAGGGATGCTCCCAAGCTCTTGTTTCCCAGACATCTGGACAGGGGCACATGAAAGTGTGTGAATATTTTTTAAAAAGGTTTCATAGTAAATTAGTCTTCCCCTCTGCTTTCTCAAAAGCTTACAGAGCTAGTGGCTGGTGGGTACAGGCCAAACCTAACTCTGCCTCCAAGCTCCTTCACATGGCTCTTGAGAAAGGTCTGATCCCAGAGCAGCCAGGAGAGAGCTGTGTCCTAGCAGTATATCCCTTAACCTTGCTGGGGTTCAGTTTCCTCATCTGCAAATATGGGGATGTTGGAATGGAAGCAGTCAGAAAATGCATGACACATAGTCATCACTCAGTAGATGTGAATAATTATTACTACTTTTCTAATGTCATTTTCTACCACTCTTAAATAAAATTTCTTGCTCAGATTAAAAAATCTTCAGTAAAAGTATTTTTCTACTCCTATGAATAGACTCCATCCATTAGACAGTAATCAGAGCACCTAAACCTATTGATAATTGTGTGCAAGGCATCGTGCTGGCAGCCACCCGAGACGTAGGGGCTTTTATTATCCCTGTGATGAAGGAACCTATCTGCCCAACTTCTTACTGCAAGATGGGAACCACATCCAGGATGTGTAACTTTAACTACTCGGCCTGGTTGTGCCTCCCAGCGCCTGTACCAATAGCCAGGTCTGCTGGATCTATGCCTTGTCTTCATCCCCAGATCTTCATCAGCCATCTAGGAAAATACGTTCTGCTCTGTAGCAGTTGTGGGGCCTGAGTACTATTGTCCATAACTTAGAGCTAATTTTATTTTTTAGGGTCTCAATCCACAATAGAAAGCATGATTTTAAAATACTGTGAGTGGCACTAAGTCTTTTATGTTTTCCTCTTATAATTATAAAATCCTTAAGCTAAGGATAATAACCGTGATTTATTGAATGCTTACTATGTTTCATTCATGTATTATCTCATTTAGTTTTCACAACAGTCCAAGAGACAGGTACTATTATCATACCCATCCTATAGATGCAAAAACAGAGACTTAAAGGAGCTAAATATCGTGCCCGAAGTTACAAAGGAGCTAAGTGGAGTGGTCTGTATTCAAACCCAGGCAAACTGACTTCAGGCCTTTGCTTTTTTGTTAATATACTGTACTCCCCTCTCCATACTCAACTGAGCCAGCAGTTGAACACTCATGTTTCTGAATATGCATCCATTCTCTTAACAGCTTTACTATTCTGTTTCACAGATTTCTTTGGGTGATTTTTTTCTCTGCAAAATTTATTTTAAAAGTGCACCTATCTCCAGCCTAATGCCTTTAATTTTATTCACAGAAAAACAGGGTGTAAAATGAAAAGGAATTGAGCAAAAAAACTCACTTATTTCAACTAACACATAAAATTTATCATATCTCATACTTATCCTATACTAGAGGCTTGCTCCTTACTGCTGGGCTCACTGCTCCTTAGTGCTGCCGCAGAGGCAGGAGAGGCTCCCACCACCGTTGCTATGCTCACCAGCTATGAGCCCGGCTTCTGGCTGAGCAGTGCTCCCTTTGTGGGAGCACACTGACCACCAGGGGGGAGCTCCTGTGTTGATGTCTGCCCCCTGGTGGTCAGTGCGCGTCAAGTGACCGGTCATTCTAGTCATTCCGCCATAACGGCCACTTAGGCTTTTATTATATAGACTAGAGTCCTGTTGCACGCAGATTCGTGCAATAGGCCTTCTTTCCCCTGGCTGCCAGCACCAGTTTTCCTCTGGCACCCGGGACCCAGACCTTCACTCTGGCCACCGCCTTCCATCTTTGCTCTGGACACAGTCTTTGCTCTGTGGCTGGAGCCTTCAGTCTTTGCTCCTCGCTCCGGCCAGAGTCTTCAGTCTCTGGCCAGAGCTGCTCCTGTAGCTCCTTCCGCCCCCCACCCTCTCCCTCATAGCTTGATCGCTGCTTCACCTGCAGACCTCGCTGACGGGCTCCTGGGTCCCAGGGGGCCGCCTTGCCTGTGGCCTGGCTTTCCGGTGGCTCCTGGGGTTGCACATGTGGACTTGGATGGTGGCTCCCGGTGTCCCACCCTGCCTGCATTATGCAAATTAGCCACCATCTTTGTTGGCGGTTAATTTGCATATTGTGCTGATCCAGCAATGGTGATAGTAGCGAAGGTACGGTTAATTACCATGTTTGTTTATTATTAGATAGGACTAGAGACCCAGTGCATGAAATTCATGCACTTGGCGGGGGGAGGGGGGGCGGTGTCCCTCAGCCTGGCCTGTGCCCTCTCATAGTCCAGGAGCCCTTGGGGATGTCCCACTGACAGCTTCGTGTGGGAAGCAGGCCTAAGCCATCAGTCAGACATCCTTAGCGCTGCCAGGGAGGCAGGAGAGGCTACCACCACCACCACCACTGTGCTCACCAGCCAGCCCCCTGTGGGAGCACACTGACCACCAGGGGGCAGCTCCTGTGTTGAGTATCTGCCCCCTGGTGGTCAGTGTGCATCATAGTGACTGGTCGGTCTGCCGTTTGGTCAATTTGCATATTGGCCTTTTATTATGTAAGATAAAAGGCCAATATGCAAATTGTCCCCTCACGGGTTTGACTGACCAGGAGTTCGACTGCTCGCTATGATGTACACTGACCACCAGGGGGTAGCGCAGAATGAAGGAAGGCCCCAGCCAGCAACCAGCAGCTAGAGGAAGGAAGGCCCCGGCCAGCAGCCGGAAGACCCCGATCGACCCTGATCACTGGCCAGGCCTAGGGACCCTACTTGTGTGTGAATTTCATACACCAGGCCTCTAGTGTGCTGGATTAAAAAAAGGTATAGAGATGTTGATGGCTAGAGGAGAGAAGTGACAGGAGTAGTTTTTAATGGAGGCCAAGAAGAAGGCAAGGAAGGCTGGTGAGTCCTGAATAGCCTCTGAAACACCAACCTGCCATTGGAATCCCACCCTGCTTCTGAGCCCTAGTGGGGTTTGAAATGTGACCATGTGGAGAAGGCACCTCAGCTGAGGCTGAGTGCAGCCTGACCAACCCTCCCCTCAGACTGTCATCACTCAGAACATCTCCATGGGGGCAGGGACTGTGTCTCTGTCCTCATACCCAGCGACTGGCACACTAGAGACACTCCATTAAATGTTTATTGAATGAATAGAAGAATTGTAATAGTGGAAAACACAGTCTATTAAAAAGATAAAAATTGGGATTGCTTCAGATGGTGGTGGAAATGACTTTCCTCCTGTCCTTTGACTTGGTTCCTTTAATGTTGCCTTTACATTATTTGAGATAAATCATTAGCTGAAAAAAAGAATCTTACTTATTAAATGCTTTAATTTTAATCTTTCATGTCAAATCCAATTGATATTAATTTAGTTGTTTTAGAAAAAGTGTCTGATAGTAATCTTTTAAGCCAGTTGTGACCAACATTCCTTTTCCTCCTTCCAGTATGTAAGTGCAATGGTCACGCATCACTGTGCAATACCAACTCGGGCAAGTGCTTCTGCACCACCAAGGGCGTCAAGGGGGACGAGTGCCAGCTGTGAGTACCACCCTCCCAGGACCTCTGCCACAGGCCATGCCTGGGTTTAGTGATTGACCCAGGTCATCTGGGTTGATGCCTTGTTGCCATGGGCTCTAAGGGATCCCAAGTTGATTGATTTGGAATTTTGCCCTTTCTACTTCAGACAGGTCTAACTTGGACAACCTCCATAGTGAGTAGGTCATCAGTTTAGCAGCAGTTCCTTAATAACTCTGACATTCCCTGGGTTGCTGACTTGGAATAGTTGTCTAACTTCAGCCAGTACTCGGTTTTTGTCATGTCAGGAGATTGAACCCTTTTTCGAAAGAGAGTTGGAAGAGCTGGTATTCCCAGACAGTATTTTATTTGGCATTTTGGTTGTCTGATAGTGGAGGTGATCCTCTCTGGCCTTTAACACATCCTACCCTGTTCTAGCATTTTCCTTGATGAAGGAGATGAGACATCTTCCAAGGGAGAGTCTGGGGTCCCCACCTATGAGGATGCAAGCAGATGTGGGGTTTCAGTCCTGGCTGTGCCTCCACTGAGCGGGGTCCTCTTGAGGTGACTCACTTAACTGTGCTGAATCTGTTTCCACCTCTTTCAATAGTGGGACTAACAGTAATTGTTTTTAATGTCCTGGGATGTTGAAAGAAGAGATATTGTTCTCGAATTCATACATTTCTGTCTGCCTCACCAGAAAACCTCATAAAACACATGCTCCAGGTTTACTCATTCTCTCAAGAAGAGACTTAGAAATGTTTAGTAGTATCAAAATATTGAGCTGATGCAAGCAGATGTGTCATTGGTAAGCAAAGTTATGTAACCAGTGATTGAGGCTTGATAGTGGTGTTCAGGAGGGAAATGCTCTGTCTACATTTTCTAGTTTACATTAGTGCATATACGTTTATTGGTTTTATGCTGCCCTGAAACCAGTACGTGAAGAAAAGTATAATCAAAGGTCAAATTTAATTTTTGAGTCCAGGTTTCTTTAAACAGAAAAAATGTTATAGAGCAAAATTAATCACTCCTGTCCTCAGTTTGATACACAGCAAAGAAATGGGGAATAGGCCCAGTGAAAGACTTTCTTTTTAAGAGATTTAGGTATAAACAAGTGCTGTTAATCACCCTTTATAAAAGGACACATATCCCTGTATTATTTATCTAGGTAAATGCTTGACCCAAGCTTTCCCCTTCTTTTTCCATAGTTCATAGCTATTGTGCTTGCCTCAATGGTTTTGCTGATGTTCATAGATAATACCTATGAGGAAATTAATAATTTTTTTTTTAACTAGAACTTATTTTTTCTCTAGACTGGTGAACTATGTCCCAGGTTTGTGTGTTTTTTTTTAAAAAGGTTTTTTGTGTTTAGCCTTCTTTTACTTGTCTTTAAAGAACAGGGTCCGTTTATCCAGGGAGAATAGGAAAGAGGTGAAAATGAATATATGAAAAATGTTTTAACTGCACTTTTAAAAGAATAGTTCATATAAAAGTAAAAATGTGTTTTTCATGATTATAAGTAGGATCTAGATATATTTGGGTTTCTCTCATTTGTTTGGCAAAGGTTTCTCAGTTGGTGGTTGTATGAACTCATGGGCAGTCAGCATTAAAAATAAATGCAAATTCTTGTTAGTTCACTTGATTTGAATAACAGTGAAGAATGTAATTATATGTACTGACTCAAAAATGGTAGTTTATATTAAAGGGTCTACTTGATTTTAAAATGAATGTAGATTCTCTTTTAAAAGCAATAGAAAATAATCTTCATTTTTCCCCCCCCTAGCTGTGAAGTAGAAAATCGATACCAGGGAAACCCTCTCAAAGGAACATGTTATTGTAAGTGTTTTTGTAATTCTTGTCTGTCTAGAAGCAAAGTAGTTCAGTAAAACTTCATTATCGTCTTTAACATTGTTTGGGAATGGTAAGTGCTGTAGGAATATAGCAATGATCCATGGAAGTGTCCTCTTTTTTGGTGTGCTTACATTCTATTAAGTTCAATACATATATGAGCACAATTTTAAACTACTTTAATTGTGATTATAGTTTTTGTTAGTTTCTCCATAGCAGATATCAGGGAAGAGTACAGAGATATATATATCTCTGGGGTTTTTTGCTTATGTTCCCTGGAAACATTGTTTCATTTGCCATTACCTAGTTGGGGTCACCATATTTCTTATTTTAGGACATAGGTAAAATATATATGTGTGCAGGAGGCAGCCGATCAGTGATTCTCTCTCATAATTGATGTTTCTGTCTCTCTCTCCCTCTCCCCTCTGAAATCAATAAAAGTATTTTTTTATCTTAAAATATAGCTGAAGTTATCATTCTCTCTGAAACTGATTTGGCTTACCCACCTCTTTAGGAACTAATATATAAAATGAAATCTCTAATGATTAACTTATACTGAAAGGTAAATCTGGCAAAGTGACCAGGTCATTGTGGGTAAATACATTGTCTTCCAGAACCCACATAGCAGGCCAGATTATGGAACCAGAGAAAAATGAGTTAATGTTTAGCATATACACTCTAATTACATACTTGCTTTCCTGGGTTGAATAGTGTCCCCTCAAAATTCGTGTCCAGCTGGAACCTATAAATGTAATATAGTAGTATATAGATACTTTATAGGGTAAAAAATTTTTCCCCTAGGAGAAAAGAGAAAAACTTTATGACCTTGGGAAAAGAGTTCTTAGATATGATTCCAAAAGCACAATTTATAAAAGAAAAAGTTATTAGGACTTACCAAAATTTAAAACTTGTATTTTAAAAACACCATTAAAAAATAAGCCCTGGCTGGTGTGGCTCAGTAGGTTGGAGCATTGTCCCATAACCAAAAAGTGGCAGGTTCACTTCCCAGTCAGGGCGCAAACCTGGATTGCATCTGGTAGGAGCACATATCAGAGACAGACAATTGATGTTTTTTTCTCTCACATAGATGTTTATTTAAAACAAAAATTTTTATGAGTTGGGGGGGATGGGGGTTAATGGGGGGGAATGAAGACACATTTGTAATTCCTTAACTAATAAAGAATTTAAAGATAAAAAAAATTTTTTTAAATAAAAAAAGCCACAGGCTAGAAAATATTGCAAAGTATATATAGTTTTAAAATTTTTTTCTAGAATATATTTTTATTGACTTTAAAGAGGAAGGGAGAGGGAGAAAGAAATAGAAACATCAATTATGAGAGAGAATCATTGCTCGGCTGCCTCCTGCATGCCCCCCACTGGGGATCGAGCCTGCAACCCAGGCATGTGCTCTCATCCAGAATTGAACCATGACCTCCTGGTTCATAGGTCGACACTCAACCATTGAGCCACTGCGGCTGGGTGCAAAGCATATATTTGATAAAGGTCTTATATCCAGAATATATGAAGAACTCTTACAATTGAATAAGGAGACAGTTCCAGTTAAGAACAGGCAAAGATTTGAATAGACATTTCACCAAAGAATATATATAAACTGGAGGCCCGATGCATGAAATTCATGCAAGGTGCTCGGTCCTCACAGCCCCAGCTTCGTCCGGAAGGTTGTTTGGCTGTCCAGTATAATTAGCATATTATGCTTTTATTATTATAGATGGCCAATAAGCACATGAATAAATGGGTAACACTAGACATTTGGAATATATGTATTAAAACTACAGTGAGATACACTCCTAGAATGACTAGACTCAAAAGCCAATACTGTGGATTTAGAGAAGACAACTGGAGTCTCATATCTGCCCCTACATTCATGAGAAAAGCCTGGCCTCACCAGACATATAGTTGGAAAATGGAATATTTTAATTACCTTTTCACATAATTATGGATATTATGCTTTGATACTGTGCCAAAACCAGACAATTGGCTATTCTTTGTGGGAATGTGAAATAGTATAGCCACTTTGGAAAACCATATGGCAGTTTATTAAACATTTAAAAATAAAATTGCCAACATCTCCCCATTTATAACATTACTAGTATATGCTTAAGTACAGCCTAGCTTGTAATAAATAGATGTTCAATTAATATTTGTAGGTAGGTTAGGTTGGAGCTTAAAATCTCAACCAGGATAATGGTATAAGAAGGGTTTGGTGGGTATATCCAAACAAAATGATACTGCCCTTGATTTCCTTTGAAAAACCTCCAGTCCCCGGGTATAAGTGAGCCAAAAGTGCTTTCCTGGTATTGAATATTTATGAGATAATCAAGGTGTGTTTCTAGAGACCTATTTTGTTTTACTTCAACTCTTAAATACACGTGTCTTTCTTATCATAGATACCCTTCTTATTGACTATCAGTTCACCTTTAGCCTGTCCCAGGAGGATGACCGCTATTACACAGCCATCAATTTTGTGGCTACACCTGATGAAGTAAGATTTAAAAGTCTTTTTTATTTTTGTCATTATGGATAAAAGCACTGCCTTAACAGTGGTCTCCAGAGTGGAGCACACAGGATGATGTTTAGAGGTACAGGGAAGAAATGTTAGATCTACATTTTATCGCCTTTCCACCTAAAAGGCAGGAACGGTTTTAAGATTTACCAGTATTAGATACACAGACTGACACTGACTCCACACATACTTGATTTGCCCATCAGCCCATTGCATCCCTGACAGAAAAGGAGAAGAGACTACAAGGGAAACTCCCCCATCAGAGGGGCAGATCGCAAAGCCTAGATTTACTCTCTCAAAGTAGATCAGAGGCTTAAAAAGTACTCACCAAGAAACTGCAGATTGAAATCAATACCAGTGGTCAAGGGAGGTGGCAGAGGTGACACTTCTCATAGAATAAGTTGTTAGCCTCATTCGCGTGGAGGTAAAAACAGCGAAGGTTTAGTTATTCCCAACAAGAAGTTATCCAGAAATAATTGAAATTATTAAGATGACTATTTGAAACATGGATTTATATCTACTGACGTTAATAATGAACCCCATCTTGCCATAAGGTATTTCCTAGTGGTAGAAGGGTGCCAACACAACATGACATTTAAAAGTGAAGCATCTAGAACAGCCGTGGGCAAACTACGGCCCGCGGACCGGATCCGGCCCGTTTGAAATAAATAAAACTAAAAAAAAAAGACCTTACCCTTTTATGTAATGATGTTTACTTTGAATTTATATTAGTTCACACAAACACTCCATCCATGCTTTTGTTCCGGCCCTCCGGTCCAGTTTAAGAACCCATGTGGCCCTCGAGTCAAAAAGTTTGCCCACCCCTGATCTAGAACATAAAGACACATCTACACAATTTCTTCAGTGAAATATAAAGTTATTCATTACCCACTCCAATACATAATGCAATTTTTCTAAACTTGATGATAAATTACTTAGGAGCCTCCTTAGAAGTTTCTTATTTCTCATCAATGTACTTTAAATGAAAATAGTTCGTGGGAAATCTGTGTAGGCATATCATTTCAGGGGCTATGTTAAATGGAATTTTGAAAAAAGATTTTAGGATAAGGTTATAGCAAAAGGACGAAATACAAAATTTATTTACTAAACTTACTCATAGGCAAGTGGTTGAAGCGCTCAGTCTTTCAGGATGTAATTGATGTTGTTAATTTTATTTTAAATAAGCAAGTAGGCTCTTGGTAATACTTCTTAGCAATGTGGGCAGTGACCATGAAAACCTTTGGACCTGCCTGTTTACCTTATGAATATTTAATAGAGGTATCCAGTATGTATCTTCTATCTTTTAAAAAAGCACTAGGTTCCACATTTATTGGCCTTTCTGTGGAATAAGTACTTGTTAGTAGTGTGCTGCCAACAAATACTAAAATTAAGCATTTGAGCTGCCCCTTCAAGGGGACAGTGAGGTTTTATTAATAAATGAGACGATAACTGCTTTGTGAGGGAAACTTCTGTTTGGAGATTCCATTTTGAAAATGTTTCCATTGAAGTTTTGTCCTGTAGAAACTATTAAAACAACACCCTTAAAAATCTTAATTTTCTAATGTTTTGTGGTATTACAAAATGAA